CAACAATATCTGTCAGAAATTGTCTTAATTGTAAAGACAATACAATCACAAAACTACTGCCCTATTTCATCCTTATCTGTGTAACACTCTAGTCTTGAAACAGAAATAATCTTTTCTGTAGGGAGCTGTTAGGCCTCACTGAACTGGTGGCAAAAGCCATTTATTCCACTGCCCTTTACAGTATGGCTTCAGACATGTCACAGCACTGTTTTTGCCTTGGCTGCTCTTATGTGAAATGCAGATGATAACAATGTCCAGTTTTGTAAAATACTTTGAGAAATGTGGGAGCTATGTGTTAATTTTTGTGCAGCTATGCTGTTCATAATTTAAATTGTTACCTTCCTGTAGGTTAAATACATCATAGCATTTATTGTTAAGGGAACAATTTGGAGGAACAGTTAAGTAATATTCAGTACGTTTGTGATTGCATATCCTGTGTAGTTTCTGTTCTGTAGACACTAGGGAGTTAAGTTTGAATTGTTTCATAGCAGCAAAGAGTAGAGGCTTGCAAAGTAGCTCATACAGGTTCCACAGCAGAGGAGTTTTGTGCGGGGCTTGGGGGAAGAGAGGGAGAGAAACCCAGAGACCTGACACTGCGACATAGTGGAGCATCTTTTCCTGCTAAGAATCAGCTATTCTAGGCAGACAGTTTTGGCCCACACACCACAGCTGGTAACAGTATGAAAAGTTGCATTACTTAGAACAGAAGAAATGTGAAGGTTCATGAAGTTTCCCCATATCTGGCATTAGATTAAGGAGAGATGAAACAGTACTAAGATTGCAGAAAGCAGAAATAAAGAGTGAAGTTGTTAACTAAACATCACGTGTAGAACAAGCTACCTTAAGGCTGTTGTTACCCAGTGATGATGCAAGGATGAAAATGTCTTTATCATTCATTTGGGCATTTCTTCCTTGTACTGCAGTACTGTCTAGGAACTGAGGATCAGGTCTCTCTTTCTGTGGGCATTACACAAAGACACAATAAAGGTAACCACTGCCAAAACTGCTTGCCAACTTGGGGGCACAAAAAAGCACACACAGTTTTGAAATTGTGTTGAAATGGCTATCTGTTGTGCTGTTATAGCATCAGGTGGAAATACAGTTAATGGTAATATATTAAATGCTATAAATGTGCAGCTATTAGAGTAGCATGAGTTTTCCTGAGGCAGAACAACTGGTATTCTTGTCAGGAATCAATTTGTGAAGCTGCAGGGAATATATTGATCATCGAGGAATACGTTTTAGTTGCTGCATTTTTTTAGAGGAGACAAATGTTTGACTCCTTTGTCCTCATCTGAATAACCAAAAATAAATAAATTCATATGCCATTTTCTTTGATGCTTTGATTAGATTATTTAAAGCTTATAATCATGAAGTTTAGAATATTCGGAGTAATGTATCAATTCTTTCTCTTTTTCAGAGGGAAACGAAAGGTCAGTTTCTCATAGATCATATCTGCAACTATTACAGCTTGCTGGAAAAAGACTATTTTGGCATTCGATATGTTGACCTTGAGAAGCAGAGGGTATGTATATGAATTCTGACTATGTTTATTTTTAAGTAATGCTAAATCGATTTGTTCAACAAGTAGGTAAGATCTAATGAAAAGTTATGTATCTCTAAGGGATTATGCTCTGACCAGAATCCATAGAGGTTCCTAAAGTAGCTTTATTAAATTCATTTTTATCCTCAGCTCATCTGTATAGGTTTCAGGTAAATTGATATATTCAAATTTGTGTAGTTCTCCTGGTCACTGAAGATAGAAATGATCTTTAGTCAGGACTCAGGGGTAACACCGTTATTCTAGCTCTAGGCTCTGGTGGTGCACTGGAATCAAGGATGGATTTATAAATATCTATATATAGATATATATAGATATATCTTTTTTTTTTTGTAGAGTATATTTCTTGGGAGATATGCTGTTAAACTCAATACAATTCCTGCCAGTAAGACAGTCATTCTGTTCTACTTTTCACAGGGGGCGTAAACTTGGATATCTATAATACAGAAACCAGCTATGATTTGTCAGGTTGGGAGGGTTCTTCAGTTCTCACTGTGAGCATCTTTACATCATATTTGAGCAATAAAATTTAATATGCTTACAGGCCTGTATTCCAGGCAGTTGTGTGGACAGTGGTTAGTCATCCCTCTTAGGTGAAAGGTGGTCCTGCAGTTTGTCTTCTCTAGGTGCTGCTAGTCCCCATTTGGGTTTCAAATGAATGTTGAATGTTACTGTTTGAAAGTGGGAAAGGATGGTCAACACTGGAAGCAGAATTCAGAATTAAGGCTTAAGTATGCCTTCAAATAGCATGGAGTATATATACAGGCTTTTCATCTCTGGAAATGAGCACCAATTTGAAACTGGTATGATTCAGGAGGAAAAAATCAGTTTGATAGATATCTTTGCTAGACCCAAATTAGCTAACATTTTGGCAAAAATTACTGGAATTAAGACTCTCTGCTCAAGCCTATAGAATTTGAATAGTGTTGCAAAGCTCCAGTAGATCATTGCATTTTCCTTTTTAGAAAATTAGCAGTTATTCTGACCAGTGTACTAGATCTTTCATGATCAATAAAATTGAAAGGTATTCTAATTGGAACTGACAGAAGTAGGTGGACTGCTGGATTAGACTGTGATTAGATAGGACTTAATGAATACTTATTTTTGTTGGGCCTGTCTTTGACACTCATTCAAAAATTACTACAGAAAAGTTGGTTTACTTAACAGAAATCAAGAGATATTGTTAGTTAAAACTTTTCATTTAACTTTTCCTAGCAGAATACTATGAAAAAGCAGTGCCACAGTGAGAACTCCTAAAAACTCATTCTCATTGCATGGTAATCATTATATCATACTTTGTGGTTCTCATTTTTCAAAGAGCTGTTAACCATATTGACAAATTTGCTACAATACCTTATTCCTGTTGGCTATACAGTTGCCCATATACATCTTGTAGTATAGCTAGTTTTGTTTTAAGTTTAGGAAAGATGCACTTCATCCTGAAGCTCAAGTTTGCACTTGGTTACTAAGGAAAGACAATCAATTCAAATTTTTCTTACTTGCCTTGTTAAATACTAATTTATAATTACTATCACTTTTTTAAGCATATGAGATGGATAACGTTTCTAATTAGCTATTAGTTCCTGATGTTAAGCTTTCTCGTGAATTAGGACATGAATGGTATTGAATTGTGTGGGACATTTCTTGATACAGACTTAAATGCCCTGGATGACAAGCCGAAAGTGTCATGCACTTTTCTCTTAGGTTCACTATAATTCATGAAAAGCAGTTTTCATGTGCTGTTTCTTCTATTGACCCTCCTTTGTGCTGTTCTGTTGTATCTTTTTTTTTAAGATTGCATTTCTAGTGATTTATGCACGTACTTTCCCTCAGAGGTATATTCAGAAGAAGAAAATATTTCCTCTGCAACAAAGCATGTCTTAAGGGCTAAAATACAGAGAAATGTTATAATAAAGAAATACTATGTAGTATGGCTCTTTTGAATCTGTGCTCTTGTTGTGGTTCTCTTACCTGAGTTTTATCTCCATATCACATATGAATGCATGAATACCTCCCAACTAAATGTAGGAAGACTGTGAAACTGTTGCAGTTTTTCTCTTAAAGAGACATAACCCACAATCTCCTGGCACTATAACAGGCAAGTATGTTAGGGCTCAAACATTGTAGCTAGATGAAGTTCATCAGCAAGTGACTCGGTAAGAAATTAGAAGAAATAATAATCTTTAAGTGATGATGTAGGTGAATGACTCTTCTCACAGTTTTATATTTTGGCAGTTGAGACTTTAGGTCTCTGAAATTCATGCTAATAAAAAAAATGAGATTACAGAGTAGTAGCTGCAATTTATGTCCATGATCTAAATGACAAGTGTAAGATATAGTGGGTCACAGGGAGGAGGGGCCTATCATAGTAGCTGCCTTACTGGATGCTTAAAGAGAGCAAAGCAGAAGAGACTTCCTAAGCTCCAATGAATTCTTGCAAGTCCCATCAAGGAAAAAGGGAGAGATTTTCTGTAGTATACCCTCTTATGGGTTATTTAGATGTGTTACAAAATAGAAACAATAACAAGTAAAGCCAGCAAAGGTCTGTAAATGGAATTCACCAAGTGTCTTGTTTGGAAAATAATACATCTATTTGCATTTTTAAAATAACTTTTTTCTAAAGTTACATCTGCTGGTTTGACTGAGAACAATTGCTTTGAAGGGAAGTGATAGTTCATTGTAAATCAGTTTAATGCTGAGTGTGACAATGTACTTCTGTGCTCCATAGGCAAACAAAGAAGTGTAGGGCAACGTATAAAATAAAAATCTCCTAGTACAATTTCAGTAGTGATAGTGTATCATTGTAGTCAAGATAGCGATAAGCCACCAGCCTGTTGTAGCAATGAAAAAAAAGTTAGAAGTAGCAGGGGAAGTATTTTGGGGAAAGTATTAATGTCCTTATATAAGAGCCTGATGAGATCTCAACTATTCTGATCTAGGCATCCACATTCAAGATAGATTGATTTAACTGAATCAACAGATGGAGCATTAGAATGATCAAGAGAATGGAGAGCCAGTTTAGGAGACTATATTAAGAAGTGCGCAACCTATGTAGTGCAGCAAAGCAAAGGATAAGAGGATACAGTTACCATTTATAAATGCATCAGGGTGTAAACTAGAGAGAAAAAAAATGTTTAAACCAGTGAGGTGAGGTGGATTCACATTTAAGCTAATGAGGGCAGTACATGCTGGAACAGCCATAACGAGAGCAGTAGGGGCAAAAATTTAACTGGCTTTAAGATGAATTTTTATCAATTTATGAAAGGGATTATATTACACATTAACAGAAACAGCTAGAGACTAGGGTCTATACTCTGAAGTCTGTTTTAGATAATATGTACTAAAAGCTGAAACAAGAAAGCATAACATTTTTTAGGAGCGTTACTAATGATATTGATGCAGGTAGCATAAAATTCCTGTTGCTATTTTCTTTTGCTTGGAATTGTGAATGCCTCTATTCCAGTTATATTCCACTGCATAGTCTCTGTCTTTGCACAAAAGGGGCTATATCTGTTGTTCCATAGGAAACTGCCTAAATTATGCATTTAATCCTGTCTTTTCATGTATTGTTCTTGTTTGGCTCTTCGTATAGCTAAGCTATATGAAAATAATAGTATGTGTATATATATGTACACATATATAAATATTTTACAAAATTTCTCCTGCTGACATTTAGTGTACAACTGATGCCTGCCTCCCATTTATTTGTGTATATTTCTTTTTGCAGAAGTTGTTCCGAAAGCTAATTTGCTGTCCTTCTGTTCCATAATCATTGAGGGAGCTCAAGCAGGCAAAAATACCAGCTTTAGTTCATCCCAAATATGTATATTTCAGAGCAGCATACCAAAATGTAACATTTTGACTTAGGAGTGTTAAAGTACTTGTTTGAGGTGGAGAATTCAAAGTATGAAATGTTTCAATATTTCAGATGTTTCAAGTGAAATGTTTCAGTATTTCTGTATAGAACATTCAGAACTTCTGACTGTGAAAAATGTTGATAATTGAACTAATTGTCTTAGATTGGAAGAAAATTTTGCAATATTCTCAGTGGTGGGAAAAAGTATAATTTTTATAGATTATTTTTTAAGTTATAAGGTATACTCTACTCTTTTATTCCCCTTTTATAGTGATTCTTTCCTTCTACATAAGTAAACACGTATGGATCTATTTTAGGCATGCTTAAACCTTCTAAAATTTCCCAGAGTTTTCCACTTCACACCAAAAAGAAACTCTAGAAGACATTCATAATGGAACGCAGCATGGTTGCTTTTTATATATCGTCGGATATACAGGAGGAGAAAAATGCCAATGGCCTCAAATTCAGCTAGAATTTGAAGGCTCTAAATTCTACATGATACGTGCTATTTTATCTTCCAGCTTCACTGTTGGGAAATTGAGCCATACGGTAGCTTCACAAAACTCAGTTTTGCTAAAAATTTACAGTAAGTTGCAGTATGCCATTTTACATGTAATTGTACTATACTGGGAACAAGTGAGTTCTTTATATTCATATATTAACTGTTGAGTTTTTAGCCTGGATTCCTGAGGAAACTAGGCATATCAATCACACTGCTTGTCCCCCCAACTCCTTTCTATAATAACTTTTGAAGCCAGTTTCAATCAAATTTGACTGGGGATAGAGGTCTCAAATATTAAGTTTCTGTAAGGTTTCATGAAGACAGGCTGCCACATCAGAGGAAAAAATCCTATTAGTCTTTTCACTGAGGGAAACACTGCAGGGCAAACCCATCCCATAGGGAAACTAGAGAGAGTTGGGAGGGAGATACTATGAGCACCCAGGAACCTTCATTTGGAGCTTGTACTTTTTTAAGAAAAAGTAGTTTCAAACAAGAGACATACCTGGAGGAGGTTTCACTAATTCTGCTACTCAAGGAACTACTTATTGGTAGTTTTTTTTTTTAATTGATTTTTGACCAGTAGATCTCACAAGAGATCTAAAATAA